ATCGTAATAAACGTCATAGAACTTTAACGGAGTTTCCTGCATCATTTGTTCAGTGTTTTGCGGCAATTCTTTACATATATATATATATATATATATAATCTCAGAGTATTTACTTTTTCCAAGCACTTTCATATAATATCAGCACATAGATTTTGACGTAAATAATTATGTTCGTATTGGGTTGGACTATCCACACTAATTCAAATCAATAGGTACAAACTAACAGATAAAAACGTTAATGGCATTGTTTATCTTTAATTGCAATTATAATATCATGAGCAGTAGTCTGAATTGATGCTTGCCTTCCAGTCCCATGGTCCTCGGTTCAAATCCTATCATGATAAAATGATTCTCACGAACAAAAGAACTCTATGCCACTAAGCCTCGTAATGAGAGTCAGCCTAGTGTATATTATAGAGCAACTTGTGAGTACATTATGTGTGTCTTGTCAAGAGATTGTCACTTAATAAAGTGATAAGTTCGATGTGTGGCATGTATTTGGCTCACGTGCTTAAATTTGAATAAGAAAAAAAAAACCCTGAAGTGTTTTCCTAATTCGTCGATAGCATAAGAACTGGTGCGTATACATAACCTTTTAACAAATTTAAGATAAAATTAACTTAATAAAACAACACATACATTTATCATTAATTATCATTGAAGTTAGTATCCGTAAATCGTATTTACACTATACAATTAATACTAGTTAGGCCAACCAACTTTATTCCCATCAGCATGTTTGCAATAGGGAAACAAGTTAAAGGTTCAATTGACAAAAATGATCTCTACTGCAACATGCTAATTATATTTAATATCCGGTCACAACAGAAGGTCTTTTACTTTAACATAATAAATGTTGTTTTTTTCAAACTTATCAATGATCCACGTAACTTTAGTTGGCGTTTGGAAATGACATGTTTGCTTCCAGTGAAGTACTGTTTCTAATTTACTGAACGGTTCATCAACATTAAAGTGTTAAGACTGCAGGTTAGCTGACAGCAATGGTTGGGGTTGATTGGGTAAACTAACCAAGTCACGTGAATCGAATCTACTTAGAACTTTATTATTCTTTAAAGTATATTGACGCTATATTTGGGCTGAAATACAGACATACAAATTAAATATTTGAATGTCTTTTGTATTAAATGAAGTAGGTGTTTTCGAGAAACAGACGCTTAACCGTTCCTATAATCTTTGCATAGATCAAACTAACTGTTAAAAAATGAGAATTTTCAAAGTGAAAGTCTGTAAATCAATAAAAAATGTTTTTATTCGTATATCATTGACAGACATGTTTATTTGTTTTGTTTTTTTTTTGTTTTGTTTTGTTTTGTTTTTTATCTAATAAAATTTGATTTTGGAAAGGGCTTAACTCTTGATGATTTTTTTAAGCAATTCAAATCAATGTTTACAGTTGTTATGGCTTTCCAAATTGTATTATCCTTACCTAGGCAAGAATATGGTACATAGGCCTTGCCACATTAGGCTAACTTTACGTGGTCCTTTTTTGATTGAAGAAAAAAATTGTGGCTTACCAGATATTTATTATTAATACAATAAAAATATATTTTGTTTTCTAGCAACGGTGTGTCTTGTTTTGTAAACATTTTGCAACGTTTTATAATGTAACTTCTTTAACTTTCACAATACTAGTAGGCCCCAGAATCGAATACGTATTTCTGTACAATGGGATTGGAGCGTGATAATACAAAGGTCAAAGATGATCGTATGATGACGACAAAACATAATATTACACAGCACAACATATGGAAGATGGATTAGAAAACATGTTTCAAATGTAGAATACTTATGTAACTACCGTTCGGAATTTTTCACGTTTCCTGGAATGTATTTGTAAAATAAATTATACGTGAAATCATGAGTAAAAAATTGTCGGAATGTCAGGAATGACCTCATAGTATCATTTCCAGGACCACAATGAAAAACATTTCTTTAAAATGATTGTGTCATCCTGGCTAAAGATATTAGTAAATAAATTTCTATCTGGAAAATAAATTTCCAATCATTGCTACGAATAGATACATTTTTGGAAAAAAAAAAGATCCTCTCGGGTCCGTCGGGTTGTGAATGTTTATGCTTAGAATAGCCTAGTGACATTTCGTAACCACCCGAACGAAAAGACGCTTACGTACTAGTCAATAACATAACATAGGCCTATTATAAATTATGACGCTGTATAAACACAATGCTCACAATTCCTTGATTATACATGCATTATGAAAACATATTCACATCTGTTAATCATAAAATTTTATTAATTTATACATATATGAAAAATGAAAAACGCAACACAATTCTACTAAACTCGTGACGCTGTCGCGTGGGCCCTTGTTTTTTGTTTTGTTTTTTGTTTTGTAATCAAAGAGCGCGCTAAGCGCTCGCCACGCTCTCTCAGACTCAGAGCGCAGGATATTTGAATTCCAATACAAAAAATGCGAGATTGTATACTGTACCGACAATGGATGTTAGGCCGATGCAGAGGCTGTTGGCAGTCCCGATGAGCCCAGACCCAACGCCGAATTCCTCTTTGAACTGGATAAGGAAGAAGCTGAAACATGGTATTGCGCACCCTATGGACAGAAGGGCTATAACATGCATACCAATCAGCACACATCCTTTTCTTAACTTCACTCCCATTCTGAAAAGAAAAACCGTACAAAGAATATTACTTATTTTGTTTATTAAAAAAAAAAATATGCATAATCTTATAATCTTCACATTATTACCATACGTAGGAGCGTGTGGCGCTGCGCAGCGTGTAAAGTGTTGGACTAAAGCGTGAGATCGGGAGTTCGAGAGACCGACGCTCGTCGCATTGCTTGTGTCCTTGGGCAAGACACTTCACTTACGCTTGCCTCTCTCCACCCAGGATTATAAATGGTACCTGGTAGGATGATTTGGCATTGTAAGTATTATGTATCGGCATTAAATTTGTACGTACGACTAGGAATACTCCCTAGGGACAGAAGGAAGTTGCACTATGTGCTGGTTTGACTATGGATCTGATGACCGATAGCAACATCGCCAGCAACTTGTATCCCCTGGCAAAAGGCGCGGTATAAATCTATATTACTATTATTCTATCTTTGTCATTATCATCATCATCATCATCATCATCATCATCACACTACCATTATCATATCACCATCATTATCAGCATCACCATCATCATCCACCATCATTATCACCATCATTATTATCATTCTTATCATTATCATCATCATTTCACTGTACCATCACCTTTTTAACATCACAATCATAGTTATCATCATCATAATCATCGTCATTTGTTATTATTTGGACTTTAAAATTATATTAAGGATCCTGATATTGTGAGTATCCAGCATCATATCCATCATAAGTATGGTCGTTAGTCATTATGATAATTTAAGGCCAACTCAGACAGCGTCGGCCGACGCAGCCCGACCCGATTTATCGTCGGGGACAGTCTTAAGCCGTCGTGAGAAATTTAAACACGTTTAATATTCTACTACGCGACTGCCCCCGACGCACACCATCGCGTCTGCGTTTAACTCACACAGACCCGACGCGACAACAAATCGCGTCGGGCTGCGTCGGCCGACGCTGTCTGAGTTGGCCTTTATAAATACTGTAATTATACTGAAATCACATCATTCGTGATTATTCATCTATGATACATTTATTAACGTTCTTTCTTTATATTATTAGAAACACAGTTTGTATTTTGCCCAAAGCATTGTGATACGTGTTGGATAAATAAGGGTCGGTCGGTCGGGAAAGCCTAGTCCCAATTCTCGAGGGTTCGTTCCCAAGCATCACTAACCCCACTGATGCTAGTTGGTTTTTTAAATGGTTGCTTAACCACAGGTCTCAAATCAACAGTTTTCAAACATCCAATTAGTATTTTGAGCTCCTCTAATTTCACTCTTAGAAATAATGGTTCTTCAGAGGATTTTGGCTGTCCTGTATATGGAACCCTCAGTGTAAAAAGGTTCTTTATTTCAAAGGGTTCTGTAAATAATTTAACGAACCTAAACTAGTTCGAAGGGCCCTTTAGAGAACCTGTTTTTCTCCTTTTTCGAACCTTTAAAGGTGCCAGGGGTTCCATATACAGGACAACTGAAGAAACCCTTAAGCACTCCTTTTTTTTCTAAGAGTGACAGGTCTAAAATCAACAGTTTTCAAACATCCAATTAGTATTTTGAGCTCCTCTAATTATGGTATTACGCCTACATACAGTACTGTATACATACGGTAGCTAAACAATTAATAAAGAAAGCTTATATACGTACAGTTAGTATTCATGTTATTTTTATTTTTTGTAGTATACGACAAAAATATTGATTGGAAAATAAAATTGAAATTGAAATAAATTGAAAAATTGATTTTAGATTTTCGAGTTGAGTCGGTCGGGCTTGTGAGACATTTTTTTACCTTATTAAAATATTGTATCTAGGAGCCTATATTTAGTTAATAATTTTACAATAGGCCTTCTTGCTCTTGCACAATATATTCACTCTGAATAAAATAAATACAATTTACTGTATTTTTTTTTTAATAATTAAAATTCAGTGCAACATAACAGATTAGAGGATCAGAACGTGGTTTTGCTTATTGGTGTGCCATACGAGAAGGCAGCGGTCAACAATTATGAAGGCCTATCGATTATGAAACCTTATTATGCAGTACTGTAAGTACTGTACTTATAAATAAAAGTCCTTGCTATATTATTATAACTAAGACGCTGACCAATTGGAAGAATTGGTCAAGTCTGTTTGACCATGTGGAAAAGACATGCGATGAATGGCCATATTGAAGTCACGCAAAGAGTCAGAATCGTTTTTTGTTTTTTTTAAATAAGAATAACGTTATCTGTTGTTATTTTATTAAACCTTTCAAATTTAATAGTTGAGTCTAAAATACATGTTTTGATAATAGACACATGATATACAATTTATAAGAGTAAAATCAAACAATGATGAATAGAAAAAAAAACTGTACTCTTTTTTTGGTGGAAATTTGATTTGAACAAAATAAGAATATTGAGATTGCCAATTGACAATAAATATTTTAAAAAAAACCAAAAAACACCTCTGAGCCTGGACAAAATCTTACTGGTTCTTTAAAAAAAGTGTACTTGAACAAAATGTATCTTTCACTTAACTAGTAATTCAATTTGAATTTAGTTAATAAAAATTCAAATAGGGCCTAATAAAAATGTGAATTGGTTAATCTGTACCAGATCGAAGAGTAAATCTGTTTTTAATGATTTACAGCACTTACACGACGATAATTCTTTATACATTTGTATTTTGTTTCAATTAGTAACTTCCATAAATATTAAGAAATTTAATGTTCGAGAAATCAGTTTTGTCTGGCAGTAGGCCTAGTCCCAGAGCTGATCAGACCTCCTTGATCAGACATGTTGCAATAAACCCATTGATCGATGATTCTCAATGCAAATCAGATCCTGAGTATGTACTGGAAGTGCAAAACCAATAATGAATCGATATGTAATCCATTATTATTTGTGTTAGGCTAGTTTATACCTTCTTCCGCCATTACATTACCATGGACCGCCGGTACACATAGGCCTACCGACTAAATGTAACTAATGTGGACATAAGCCTAAGGCCTAATCACACCATCTTAACGGATCACTCGATAGCACATACGAAGACGTTTAGATGGTTGAGTCTACAACAATAAAAGCCCCAGTCAAGTATAATAATACTCTATAATACCGCGCTTACAATCAGATTTATACGACGATTGGATGATTTTCGTCTCTAGGCCTTAAAATCTCCAACGGAACGCAAGTCAGGCCTAATGTAATACCCAAAAGCGGGAGGCCTATATGATATGTCGGGAGTTCAATATAGCACTTCCCTGTTCTCAAAACAATACCACTAAAAAGCCATACTTACACGGTAATCTCATAGAGCTATAAAAAGTATGTGGACGTATAGTCTATCTATATATTTGAACTCATCGATGCTTATAAACAAAATAGACGCATGCTTCTCACCAGTTCCATGTAGCTTATGACAATAATAGGTCTAACCTTTGTCCGAAAAAAGAATATCCAGTCAAAACCCAAGAAACGTTAATGTATTTTTCAACCTTGGGTCGAAGTTCTTGGCAACAAATAAGAGTCCTCCACTGGAGGACAATGTAAATCTCGTTCAATGTGCCATTGCGCAATAGCAATCAGCCAATAAGACTGTACATGGCTCTGGGTATCCGTAATTTATTGCCTATTCAGTTGTGTTACCGTACGGTTTCTTTGTGTTACATTTTTAGGTCAATAAATATGGGCCCTTTGTGTATTTTCGTGACAAAGACTATTTGCTGTTGCTTATACCTCCATGCTTATGTTTAGCCAAGAGCCAAGCGAGTATACCACCTTTCCTTTTCTCTCTTCTTTTTTTTTTTTATTTTTTTTTATTTTTTATTTTTTTTACAATAATTTTGGTTTATTTCACAGCCAGTTGACATCATTAACAACTAACTATGGAAACAAACTTTGTTCCAAATCACAAAAGGGATCTTCCTATGCTACTGTTTTGTCGGGGTAGGGGGCGGTGCGTTATCCTCAAGAGAATATTCACTGATGTTTGATATCGGGGTTGGGTTTGGCCTGGTTTGCTGGGGTAGACAGACGTCAGCGCTTTCTATTACAGTAATTTTTGAAGAGATTATTTTGGAAAGGTGAGCAATGACACAGGCGTTTTGTATTATGACAGGTCGGCTAAAATTATCACCTTGTTAATCCAGGATCGATATCAGGTATCGTGCGTACTAATTTTCAATCGTTCAGAAACAAGAATAGCTATGCACCCTGGGCCCACAATGGACCTTTCCGCTAAGCCTCGCCTTTTGGATACAGTTGCTAAGGTTCCACTCAAAAAGCGTAAATGTACGTTTGATTGACCTTCTGGACAGGTCCATTTTCGGAGCGATAGGTAATTTGTATAATGGAAAAGTTGCATGTCTGTGAAAAAAACCTGGGAAACTCCTAAATCAAAATAATTATTGTAGGCCTATTCTGCCCTTATACATGACGTGTGTGTGAATGGGACCATGTTCTGATTCACCTTTACCTATCAAACGAAAATAATACAGTACCGGTAATCCTTATACAAGGTCAATACCCTTGCCACTGTTAACCGTTATACACCATGGGACCATGTTCTGATTTAAACAAAAATTATATTTTTATGAATTCGCAGCATAATTTTTACCTATCAAACGAAAATAATAATCCTTTAAATACAAGGTCAATACCCTTGCCACTGTTAACCGTTATACACCAGTAGGCCTATTAGCATACAATAGACAATTTTAACCGTGGAGGAAATAACTAGCGGGAACATAACAAAGCAACACCAAATGAAACTGCAATGACATGCGTATACAAACACCTGGTTGGCTTATTAGTTACACGTGAACACAGTTAATCATGATCGTATTTGTCAACAATGTCATGTGATTTGAACCGTTGTTGCATCAAAATAGCAACAATAGGCCTAAATGGAAAATACCCATACTGTAATAGACAATGAGTTAACCAGGATTTCCCCAGAAGGGTTTGTTTGGGGAATATTACTCGGAAACTAAATTTAGCCTGGGACTGGGGGAAGGACAGAGGGGGTACCCTTAAGTTCTAGTAGGGATTGGAAATATGTTTATAATTGGTTAATCGCATAATCCGTAAATACTATAGCCTCTGTTGTTTTTTTTTTTCAATTAAGGCATATTATTTTTCATCACATTTTTACGAGTAAAAAACAATTTATGAATATAGGTAGGTAGACCTACTTATGATGAGGTCTATATTTCTGGGGTGCTTCATTTTTCAGTTTATCGATTTGTTTATTCCATCATGGAAACATTTTTTGTATATGAATATATTATTTTACAGAATCCAATACTGTGGAGTGGATTGAGTAACCCACCGTACTCTCCATTATCTGCATGGCAAAAAGGACAGATGGTCCACATGTATCCTTAGGCCCCCTGGACTCTTTGAAACGACTTTTAATCACTGTGAATTGATCAAATTATCACTTATCAGTGGTGCATATAAAACATAAACTTTTGTAAGAACACATAACACTATGAGGCTGAAATTGCTTTAAAAATTGCTTCAAAAATAAGAACAAACTGAGGCTGAGGTAAAATATCAAATGAGGTTTTATGAAAGTTAAAATAAAAAAAAACAACAACAACAAATCAACTTAGTCTGAGTAGGCCTACAGTATTATGCCAAATAAAAGAAATTACTACTTTCTCGTCCCCTCTCGCATCCAATTTATTTCCTTTATTTTACGAAATGTATGAACATCTGGCTAACTCACATCAGTAAAATTTTTCTCTCGATCGTTCGTGGTTGGGGGTACATATGTTATGAATTATGTCTAGTACATTTTTAATTTGCTTTCAATGTGTCTACCATGGTAAATGTGAGAAAGCAGTGCTGTTTCCAATCGACCATCTTGGATTTGCCCTCATTCTCCTTTTTTCAAAATATTAGGACGAGAAACTACTCTTTTTTTTACTTGGCCTTCATTAATGTTTAAAAAGGTTGTATCAACATTATATCTACTTTATTAATGTCAACAGATGCGATATAATCTGAAAGTCCATCAGGAAATGACAAAAAATTACTCAGCTAAGCGAGTTTTACTTCAAGTGCGAGTTGCAAAATTTTCCAACTCGCTCGCAACTCGCATTTTCCAACTCGCAACTCGCATCTCACATTTTCCAACTCGCAACTCGCACAAAAAAAAACCCCAGCTAAGCATGTACTGAAATTCATAATTTCCCTCATACAAGCCGTTCTCATGCAGTACTAGCGTCCCGTATCTTTCTGCCAACAAGAGAGTCACTGGTTTACGGTGGTGTAAAATACGAACAATAATAAGAACATTGTGAGCCTGAAGTAGGCCAAAAATAAGAACACTGAGCCTTTTACTGGTTCTTATATAAAAAAAAAAAAGTGTAGGTAATAAACATACATCAATCACGTTTGCCAGCTTACCATTAAAGGGGACCATTAATCATTTCAAATATCTGTCATTACAATTCACTTTAACAGCAAATTAAAGTACTGTAACAATCTATTTGAAAAGCCCTACCGAAAGTGGCTCTGGGTCTAGGATACACGTGAAGTGGTGGAGGGGCGGAGTCGGAGGGGAGTTGTGAGCCGTATAAGACCGCTTATTATTATATTTCTCTTTAGTTGGATTTTCATGGATCACTTTCGGATTACACGGATCATTGTAGGCCTAACGTACAAACACGTGTGCACATAAGCGGTTAATACACGACAAGTACCCGTTTGATATTAAAATATTAGAATACTGCATTTAGTGTAATCCTTATTTTTGTCTCGTTTGTACAAGAATGCCCTGTAAGTCGTATATTTGGAAGGAATTTGTTGAAATTTTGCTCTTGGGCTGAGCTAGAGGACTGAAGTACTACAATAATGTACCATCTTTCGGAAGAGATGTTTAAGACGCTGATCCTGTACTGGTTTATGGACCTGGTGAGGGGTGGGGGTGCTGCAAGTTAGAATGGGGAACTACGGTACGTTCTTATTCCTATGAAATCTCAACAGTGATTTTTATTTTTACTTCATAGCAGCAGAACTAATATGTTGCTATGTGTCGTGTCCGTCAGCATCCCTTCCCGCCAAACCCACCCCCACCCCCGATCACCAGGTCTGAGTCCGGATGTCTTCGGAAAAGAGCAGGAGAAACAGGTTTTCCCCCGTGTACTGCCCAATTCGCCGCCAGAAGAACCCCACGGATTTACATCCAAATATCATGCAAAGCTTCATACAGTATTAGTATGCCCGCAGAATTTACGTTTGTTTTGTTGATGTGCAATCAAAAGATTATATGACAAGATACAGAAATACAGATCATTTTAAATAAACATTAATGAACATGACACACTAAAGGAACCTTAAGGCCTATGATTCAATTTCCTTAACGACATTGGTGTAGGGTAAAATACCTTGACATCATAGTCTGGAGTACTGGGAAATCATTAAAAGATTATAGACCTAGGTTAAATCTTGGCGTATGGATACAGCGTAGGCCTACTTTTTGAGAAGGGATTTACAATTGTTTGACCTACAGAACAATCCACAGGGTCAACAAAACAGAAAAACGTGACATACATCATTTGAAATTCAGATCGGCCTATAGTTGTATGGTCGATGAGTCATGAAGTTTACATCGCCCCCCCCCCCCCCACCATGGATAGGTTTACTGGGTTGTGACTAACGTGAGCAACAGGGACAAATTCATAATGCTGATAAGCATACATAAATTGTCTCATTACCAGAAAATTGTCTGAGACAATGCATCATATTCATAATACGTAACAAAAGGACAGACTATGCCATACTAATTCCGTGATTAGGCCTACAGCCCCTCCGAATAGAATTCAAAGACCTTTTCACACAGAAGTACTGGGTCTGGTCTAACTTATGTCACAAAGATAGACTTCTGTAATTTAATCCTATTCTTGGGCCATAGAACAGCATGATTATCCTTGTTAGATCATGTTAGACCATACCATGAAGGTATAAAATATTCCTTCATCCGTGGTTAGACACAGCTTTATTTGAAGCTAAACAAAAAAAAATGTTACTGTACAAGAAGGTATTGACTATTTAATACTGATTTACCTCATAGAATAGCTACCCACAGGCTTTGGAGTAGAGTTGAATAGCTTGGTGGTTAAAAAGATGAGCAATTCCCGGGCCCTGGTTTAAATTCCTTTTAAATAGCAGGTTATTTTCACACCCCATTCATATAGGCCTACATCATTATTACTTCGAATAAACGCCTCGCAGTTAATAACACCACTCTGGATCGGAGCCTCATTTCGAATAACCTCCTTCGAATAAACGCCCAGAGGCGTTTATTTTTTTCATCGTTTAAACGCCCCCTAAATGACTAAACAAATTTAACGGAAGGAATAACATTCCCAATACAATCTATTAATGTTTTATTTTTCACTAGAATTACATTTTTTCTAAACTGGTTGGGATCAATAAGTCTTTATGATCATGCATCACATTTTGACGGTAACTTGTGTTGTGTAATTCCACATATACAATGAAATTAAGGGGCATTTATTTGAGTATAGACACCATATCCACTTTACACCAAATAAAGAAAAAAATTATAAAATAAAATAAACCCCTCCTCTAATAAAAGCTCCCTCAAAAACCCTTCTCAAGCATAAACGGGGCGTGTATTTGAATTACGGTAGATGCTGGTGAGACTGGTTGTGCATCACTGCATTCACCTATTATTTTCCTTGGAACCTTTCACACGGACACAATGCTCGGTCTAACCTGCCATATTATATCCAGGACTACAAATAATTCAGCTCACCGT